GTTATCTCTCTAAATGTCCACAGGTTAAAAAAAGTCAATAAGTGGATCAAAAATTATATTTTGAGTTTTTGTTTTCTTCCTGAAGATTTGCTGTTCTACGTTCCTCTTGCAGACAGCTGTGCTGCGCAGCCAACATTACATCAATAAAGGAAGGAGAAGTTTTCTCAGAAATATACAATGAACTTTGACCTTTGGTCTTAAGATGCAGCTCTAATATTCTTGAACCAAATAGAAAACATTCAAGCTAAAACTGAAATGTAAATAAACCATGACAACAAGAATATAAAGCAAAATAGCTCTTTAGAGTTCAGATGCTTTACAATTTATTGACTTTACATAAAGACGTAGGTTATAAATGTTTTGATTGTTTTGGAATAAAAGTTGAGGAGGAAACAGAAGTGAAAAACGATCCGGACCATCAGGCTGAATTCAAGTTTCCATTCTAATAAAATGCAACTCATTGATTTTGTGGCATTTAATTTCCAACAGAATGAAGGTTATTAGTTTTCCTGAAAGCTTAGTGAAAGTTTTGAGACTGTCAGCAGGATGAATACATTTCTTTCTGAAGCTGATGCTTTTCACAGCGTTTAATGATCTTGTGGTAAATTAGTCGCTGCCAAAGCTTTGGTCTTGTGGAAAACACGGCGGTGAAGCTGCTGGGAAATAACCCGGCTCTGCAGGAAACCTTACTGACAGTCCCATCTCTGGTTTCTCTCTTCAAAGAAAACTCGACTCGCTTGTTGTTTTTGGCTGCGGCTGATCTGCTGTCAGAGACAAAACCGTGAGCTCAACAATTTCACAAACAAGTTTTTGAGTCGCAGAATCATAATCGTCATGCTGCGGGCTTACGAAGTGGAACGACCCAAACGTTGTGACCTCTGCTTAGATGAGATGATAATTATGGATTTAAAAATATTTCTATGAAACTTATAAGTACAGAACTTAAAAACGCAACGTAAAGATTTTGAGTTCAGTTTTAGTTCCTCATCCTCCTCCAGTGTTGATGTTAACCAGTTTTCCCAAATCTTAATAAATATGATCTCTCTAAAACAGCTTCATTTTCAATTTGGTTCATATGAAAATTATTAATGTCCTCAAATGGCCAGAAAACCTTGATAAAACTTGTTAGTAAATTGCTAAAATATGCCTCCGCACCACCAGGGGGCCCCCAAGAGCATCACTTATTCATTTATTATTTTGTACCTTAAAGATTGCACATTTTCACCATGTTCCACATTGGTTCCAAATATTTCAAACAAATGCGTTTTAGGCCACATAAAAAGCACTGGTGGGCCGGATTTGGCCCCCAAACCTCAAGTTTGGCAATATTTAAGTCTTCAGTGCATCATTGCAGAGATTTAAAAAGTGAATATTTGTTGAATTTTACCTTGAAAATATCAGAGGTTTCCACATTTTGGTTGATTTGACTCTTCAGCAGGAAGTCACCAAGTCTGGAAGAGGCAGCGAGTCATTCATTGGATGCAGGTGTGTTTATGTCCTACCTACAAGTTCAACATGAAAAAGAAAAGATTGTAAAGATGAAATGTTTACAAATCATAAATCACGTTTCTTTAGCCTTAAGCAACGTGCAAAAACAATTCTATTGGAAAGATAAGTGCAAAATATTTTAATAAAACCAATTAACTTGGTTTTTATACAGAAAGAATCTTAAACTATTTGAATTGCACTGAAGGTTGGCAGTTCAATTCCCATCCTGAAGGTTGTGATTGTTGAGATTACAAAACATTTAGCTTTCTGAAATGTTGGTGAAGACTAAACAGTTTAAATAAAGAGTTTTGTTTGCGAGATCAACAGTTTTATTTTCTCTTAATACCAGAATGTAGCAGGTAACTGCAGCTGTTCTAAATTTATGGACCAAACACTGATCCACTCTAAATAAACTGCTTTTATGATGAAATAATTAGAAAATTAAATGCGTTATGTGTGCAGGAGCAGTTGCAATAATTTATGTGAGTAGCAATTCAATTTACAGATGAATTCACGTTGAAGGCAATGTAGATCATGTAAATTGTGTGGCAGTTCCCATTTGTGGATTTCAGTGTGTAATTCCAGCTTGTGGCCACAGGAGGGCAGTAGAGAAACAGAGTTTATGGCAAAGAAAATACAACTGTTAAAGCAGATCAGGGCGATTTTTGCCATCTGGTGGACATAGAAGGTAACTACAGCTGTAATTTAGGCAGAGCAGAGCGATTTCTGCCCTTTTGACCCCTTCATGGGTAACTACCGCGGAATTTAAGAAATCATAAATATTTAAAACATTTTTATAGTAGATGTGGTAGAGTACAGAAATCATAACATGGAAATTAACATGTTTTGACTAAAAGAAGAATGAAACTGAATATCTGTTTCATCTCTTATTTTCTTCATATTTACCATCAAAGGAACCTGGAAAGATCTGAAAATTATTTTTAAAAAATGTAAAAAAAACTTCTTTTTTTCCTAAAAATGAAAGAGAAGCTATTGTTCCTAAATTTAAATATAATAAAATAAAAAATCTGTTCTTTTTAACAGTTTTAAAGGTTATTTCTATACCATTTGCATTGAAATACGTAACATGCTTCTAGATATGTTTCTGTAATTAGATTATAATCTGCTTTTTTTCTGTTCTGCATAAAAAAGATCATTACAATGAAAAATAAATTATTGTCACAATTGTGACTCTAAAGGTTTGTTTGACTGACCTGAGGATAAAAACACTTTTTGATGCTTTGACCAACAGATGTGCAACATTTTCAGTCACTTATCTAACAATCATCCATCCACTGTCAAGGTTTCGCTCCAGTGATGGGATTATTGGCAGAAAATTGTCCCTTTTTAACCTCTTGGCAGCAGAATATCAGGATGAAAAAGTTGTGTCTTTAATCGGGGCGATAAATCCAGTTAAGATCTGAAACCTGAGCGATGATCCGCTTTTTTAAACCCTAATAAACCCGATCTGTCAGTGAACATGGCAGGATTTCCCAGTTTCCTGATAATCTCAGCAGAAGTGGAAAGTAATCCTGCCGTGCAGGGATTAGAGTTTTCATGGAGTCTGGAGCAGCTTTCATGATCTTCAGTAACTCCATTTTACCTTAATCCTGCTGCTGTCTCATGATCTGACAGCTGCTGACACACACCCTGTGAACATCTGGACACATCTGGACTGTAAACACAGATTTGGAGCAGCAGCGCCGGCACAGCGACTGGAAACATTCTGCAGGAGTTTGTGGCTCATCAGTCGGACGCAGCGGTGAAACCGAACCCAGCAGACACCCAACACCTGAGAGAGGAAACTCCACAGTGGGTCTGCTGTCGACCCGCAGAGCTTCAGGCTGCAGTTCGATGATGGCTGGGATGATGTTATTTAATTTAGAATAGTCCTCATTGAGCGCAGAGACAGCTTTATTATTATTTTTATTATTATTTTTATTAAAGTCTGTGTTTGGCCCAATTCCATTTCATTAACACATTTATAGTAAAAACTGCTTACAGGGGCAGAAACCCAGCGCTCCAGTTTGCTGGAGGTACCATCAGATTTAATAATAATAATTGCATATTTTGCTAATATTCTACTCTATGTTAGAATTATAAATCCATATCAGGGGAGGTGAGAAAACTGAATTCATTTGAAGGCATTTGGAGTTACATTCAGTTCAAAAAACAGAAAAACAACTTTAATAAATGTATTTAATGTAATTTGGGTCTAAACTGATCAACTGGACCATTATGGATTATTGGTGATCTTTATCTACCTCTAGAGGTTTCACACCATTTGGAAAACCTTAAACTACTACACTTTTTATCTTCTCATTAAAATGTGTTTGTCAGATGTATTGCAGTGACCTTTGACCTCTGCCACTGCTTCTAATGTTGTGGGATTAAAGAGCATCAGACCAAATCTCCTGGTATCTTCAGATCCAGAAGAAAACGTGTCGTTGCATCTGATCCACTCAGTCTGGAAATCATGACTGCATCCTGAAACAGACGTGATGTAACATGTGATTCTCTCTGGGGGAAAGATTTTCAGTTCATCCAAGTTCATCTTCACACAGAAACGACATTTTGTTTGCTGTTCAGGAGCTTCAGTTGGTTAAATGTTGAAGAGCATCAGCAGAACTCGCCTTTTTCATGGATTATTTAAAGGAACATAAAACGGTTTGTTGGAGCTGATTGAATAAAAGACTCCCTGTTAGGTTATTCATCCAGCCTTTGATGTGATCATTTAAACTCCTGCATTAAACGTCAAGACGAGTTCTGGTGTCCCTCCAGGATGAGTTCTCGGCTCCCAAATTTACATTCTGACATTAAATCATTTGATTCATAATGAAAATATTCTGAATAATTTGACAATAAAACCTAGAGATGTTATTTATAGCCTGTTTTTCTAAAATCAAGCATTTAGTGACACAGAATTTCAGTATTTGTGATATTTTTACTTATTTATTACTTTGCTTGAGGTTTTGTTTGGTCTTTGTCCTGCAGCCTTCTCTTCTTTTCTAAGACAAATTTCTCCCACAGGAGACAAATAAATAATTTTACCTTCATTATTTCTATTTTTAAAGGGCTATTATGAACATTTCCGGTAGAAATGTTCATAAACGAGACTGAAGAACAATTGTTTAATTTGTGAAAGTTTCAATAAGACGTTTAGTTTAAAACTCTTTTAGAAAGTTGTTGCAAACACTAAAAACTCACTGCTTTTGCAACTTTGAAGTTTTATTGATTGAAATTTGAGATCTTTCTCTCTTTAAACTTCTGCAGCCTTTCTGTAACTAAACAATCTTGAAGAGAAATGAAGCAGGACATAAACATGCAATCAATGAAATCTGTCCAGAGCTTTTAATTCTCAGCTCCTGTCCCAGTTTCCTTCAATCTCTTAAAGCTTTCCTCTCTAACTCCTCCCACATGGCGCCTGCAGCGCCGGCTGCCTGCCTGCCTGGTGAATAATTGACGAGCTCTCCCTCCTCTTTTCCATCCTCTGCCATTGTGGCGTCGCTCGTCGGGTTCTCCGGGCCGTGACAGACCGCCCTCCCCTCCTCCATCATGTCCAGTTTCCACCTGCTGGCCGGATGGTGACAAACGCACCGGGAGCAGCTGCTGGTAAGACCTGAGGACAGTTTGATTGGTTTTGGGGAACAGAGGTGCAGCAGAAACTCTGGATCTTTTTTAATGTTTTACCTTTAATTGTTGATTAATTCTGGGTATGAATTGTTGGATCTGTTGGAACTGCATCCCAAAGTTTTTCTATTTTAGGAAAACTTGAACCTCTAGTTAAATAATCAGAAGCTAATCTAATCTTTCCTTTATAATTCTGTTGGGTTTCTGTCTGAAACTCACCTGAATGCTTCTTTCAAATGTTTTTGCCTCGTAATTCATTCAAATCAGATTGAAGCTGGAGACGATTAGATGGATGAAGCTCATCATTTTCTAGTTAGATAACTTGTTGCTTCCTGCAGATGGACTCAGGTGATGCTGGATGTTTTCTCTCTAAAGAACAAACATCTCATCGTTGTCATCTGGTTGGAAAAAGTGGATCTTGATTTACACCAATTTCTACAATGAATCTCCAGTTTTACTGAGATCCAGACAGTTTTCTGGCTGTTTGATTGAATTCTTATTGTTCTTATCTGCTGATTGTTTCACTCAAATGAATCTTCGAATAATGCAGATTGAGTCCACTTTGATCCTTTTAATCTTTTAGCAACAGGAGAGGACAATACAACAGGACTTAGTTGAGATAAAGTTTCTGATTTTGTCTCTTTTCTGTCCTAAAGTTTCAGATCTCTGGAGTCATGAAGGAGTTCCTGTTTGTCCTCCTGCTGGTCGCCGAGTCGTCCTGCGTGTTTCTGAACTGGACGTGTAATCGAAGCTGCGTTTGCCATGGAGACCTTAAGTTCATCACCTGCTCGCATGATGACCTCACCCAGCTACCCGTCAAGGTCCCGCCCTCCACCGAACTCCTGGACCTGTCCAACAACCTCATCTCCGTCGTCCCCAAACACGTCTTCAGCAGCAACCGCAAGCTGAGGGTTCTGCTGCTGCAGAACAACAACATCAGCCTGGTGGAGGACGGTGGCTTCGCCCAGCTGGAGTTCCTGCAGAAGCTGGACCTGAGCTGGAACCGGCTCTCCGTCCTCACTGAGGGATTCTCCGTCGGCCTGGCCTTCCTGCGGGAGCTGCAGTTGTCCCACAACCAGCTGACCGGCCTGGACAGTCGGAGTTTCCTCCACCTGGACGGCTTGCAGAGGTTAAACCTGACCAACAACAGCATCCAGAGCATGGAGGTGAGGTCGTTCTCCTCCATGAGCGGCCTGCGCCAGCTCCACCTGCAGGACAACCAGCTGACGTCTCTGCGGAGCGGCACCTTCTCTATGCTGCGCTCGCTGGAGGTCCTCAACCTCGCTGGCAACCAGATCCATGAGATGGAGTTAGCGGTGTTCAACCCGCTCACCAGCATGACCTTACTGAACCTGGCAGACAACCAGCTGTCCACCGTCTGCTTCAAGACCTTCCTGAGCATCCACACCTACAGCACCCACATCCTGCTGCGGGGAAACCCCTGGAACTGCGACTGCGAGCTGCAGAGGGTTTTCCGGAAGCTGCGCAGCATCCAGAGGATCTTCCTGGACGACTACTACAACCTGACCTGCAGGGAGCCGTCTGTCCTGCACAACCACCGGCTGATGGAGGTGGACGCCGAGCTGTGCATTGCTGAGACCGTCACCGTGCTCATCATCACCATCACCGTGGTGATAACCGTGCTGGCCGCCATGCTTATGGGCGAGAGGAAGAAGAAGAAGAGGAGGAAGGGGCTGCACTGGACGCAGCAGGGGGAATTCTCAGATGACTCAGATTTCTGAAGCTAACTGGTTTATTTACAGCTAAAGTGAAACTCAACGGTATTCATTTGCCTTTAACTCTTGATGTTACACGGACAAGCCCCTCCCTCTGCGTTCTCCTAACCAATCAAAATACAGGAAATCTAAATTCTTGGGTGGTCAAAGGAAGTTCAAACCTGCAGGGAGCCTGTAAAATACTCTCCATCTTCATCCAGACTGAATAAAAACAGCTTTCAAAACAGAACTGATATGGTGGGATGGTATGGATTTATTTTGTGATATTATTGTGATGACAATAAGAATTGTGATAAGAATTTGGTTTTTATTGATTTTTGTCCTGGATTTTGCTCCATTCATTTTTCCATTAACCGGAATCAGTTTCTCACAGCATGATGCTGCCACCACCATGTTTCAGAGTGAAGTGTGCTGTTAGTTTTTCTCCACACATGTAAAGTTTTGACCAGAACAAACATGGCCTTTTGCATTTCAACAATTATTTTCTTCTCAACCAGATTTGTGGAGTTCACCTAATAGTTGCCATAATCTGTTTATTTCTGGACTTATAAAAACAATAATGCAGGATTATATATAAAGGTATCCAAGTCACAAAGTGGTGAATATTTATGTAATTCATACGTCCAGTTTTCCAAAATTTCTATAAAATGCATTGAAGTTGTATGAGAGGTTTCTGGTTCCCTCTGCAGGTGAAGAGGACTCACTGCAACTAGAGGTCCTCTGACGTCATCAGGTGATTAGCTTTAAGCAGCAGCTGGGTGTGGTTTCCGGGCTTTCTGACGGCTTATTGGGCCCTCCAGGAACATTTCCCTTTCAGAGGAATCAGGAATGAACACAGACCTGTTTCCACACCTTAGCTTGGAGTCAAAACCTGCCTCTTATGTAGGAGTTAAAGACAAATGAACTTTTAAAATATATGCAAAACGTCTCGTTTCATTCACTATTGCTAAGAAACTCATTTTAGTGATCTAATAACTTAAAGATTTTCGGTTTGTAAAATAACATTTAGATAGAAAACTGGATTAAAATAAAATTAAACAGAATTTGTGTCTGTCTTGCACAGTAAAACTAATTTACGGAGTAAATTGCTTGTATTTTCAGAGATACAATAAAAATCCGTTTAGTCTCTTTGTGACTCTGAAGCTCTGTGTATTTTATTCTTACTATCATTAAACATTCTCACCCATTGGTTCCTGGAGTCTGAAAGCTTAGATCTTATATTACGTAATTTGCCTCTAAAATTAGTGGCAGGAATGCTTTCAGACGTAAATACAAAGGTTAATGGAAGTTTCCCTTTAATTGAGACAGTATAGCCGGTTTTAGGCGTGTCGGTCCGACATTTAAAACGGTCCGAAATTTACTATTGAGACAACCGGATGTAGCTGATTTAAATGCACTTACATATCATTTTTTATCACTTTTATTCTTAATTTGTGAGCAGTTTGTTTAATAATCATTGTCTTAGCCTATTTGAACGAATTATGTGTTCAGTAGGCAGCTTTAAATGTGTTGATTATTTCAAATGTAAATATTGTGCTTTTATTTTGAAGGGATTTTACCGGAAACTCCAAGTGCTACTAGCTTGCTTTGTAGCTGACGTCTGTTTCGAGACAGGTGGATTCTCCGGTTTGACGAGCCGCTGTTGTTCTCACAACAAAAGGGATCCGAACCGGAGAAACGTTTTAATTTCTCTACAGAACGCAGACATGGACTCGTCATCGTGAATTTAAACAGTTTGGACTCGTTTTTAGCATTAATTTTCGGGGTTTTGTGTGAAAACAATGTCCCAGGAACAACAGAGAAATTCAGGAAAACACTGCGCAGTCACAGTTTAATGGGAGCGGTGACCTGAGCAGGTAGGAAAACCACGAGTTTGTCCTTTATTTGTTAAAGGAAGACAATTGAAATGTTTAAATTGGACTTACAGGAGGAGAAAACTTGACGTCAAGAGTCACTTCCTGTTTAACCACCTTATAAATGACTAACTGATCTTTTGTGAGGATTTTCCGTAAATTCGTCATCATTTCATTGATTTGAATCGCAGCATGTTGAAATAAATGATGTTTTAAATAAAATGTGAGGAACTTCCGCATATGACCTGCAGTGTCAGACAGGAACAACACAATGGGTCTGAACATCTGGTCCGTGGGCTTTCAGAGGGTCCAGCCTATTTGGATTTTTAGGCCCAAATTCAAATCAAATATCAGATTTTCTGGTTTATTTTATTGTTGATCTGTGAACCAGAAAAACTTTTTATTTTGATGTTTTTTCACTCAAATCACATCAGAATCAAAGCATTGCCATAAGAGAATGCATGAAATCTCTCTGAGGAATATTTAAAGAATCTGCTCCACAAGAGTTTCAGGTTTTCATGTGTTCTTCCTGGAGGCGCAGGCCAGGCTTCATGTTGGACTGAAGGAAGAATGTGAGCACTGTTTAAAACTGATGTTCCTCAAGAGACAGTCGTATTTATAATCACATTATTATATGTCTGAGCTCAGTATTGATGTTGATGAATGATTTATCTGTGAGAGAAAGATGGAGGACAACAGGTGATCTCCAGAAGGCTTTTAGTTTTCTTGTTGAGTTTCTGCTGGACCTCCCAGCTCTTCTTCATTTGGTTTGTAAACCAACCGTTTCTCCTCCTCTTCCTCATTTTCTTATCTTCCAGATATGCCTGCTGACGATAAGGTTGCCATCCTGACGGACGATGAGGAGGATCAGAAGAGGAAGTATGTGTTGGCGGAGCCGTTTAACACCCTGTCCACGGCGCAGCAGGAAGGCGTGTCCACGCCGGCGCCGCCCGAGCCGCTGCCGGCGCCGCAGCCTGACCCGGTGGACTGCTGCGAGAGGATGTGCCTCCGCATCAACAGCCACCTGCTCATTTCTAAAGTCTTCTACTTCTTCTTCTACGCCGCCTACGGTTCGCTGCACCCCCTGCTGGCGGTCTACTACAAACAGCTTGGCATGTCGGCCAGTCGGAGCGGCCTGCTTGTTGGCATCCGGTACTTTATAGAGTTCTGCAGCGCCCCCTTCTGGGGCGTAGTGGCGGACCGCTTTAAGAAAGGGAAGGTGGTTCTGCTGTTCTCCGTCATGTGTTGGTTGGTCTTTAACTGTGGCATTGGGTTTGTCCAACCAGCGGAGATGAAGTGTGTTTCTACGGCGACGGTTCCCCCACCCACCACCGCTGTTCCTCCTGGGAACGTCACCAACCCGACCAACTCCACCAACCAAACCAGAAGCCGGCGGAGCGTCATGGACTTCCCCAACGTTCCTGAAGTCTTGCACAGTTCCTTCAGTATTCCCTACAGGCAACATCGAAGCATCGACAACTCGACGTCCATCAACGCCACTGAGGTTCCACGCAACACCACCCTACAGACCACCACCACCCCCCCAACCACAACCGCCAACAAGGACTACCACATCATCTACAACCAGGACCAGGTGGAGAGCATCTTCCTGCTGATCCTGCTGGTCATCATCGTGGGCGAGTTCTTCAGTGCCCCCGCTGTGACCATCGTGGACACCGTCACCCTGCAGTACCTGGGGAAGGCCCGCGACCGGTACGGCCTGCAGAGGATGTGGGGGTCCCTGGGCTGGGGCCTGGCCATGCTGGCGGTGGGCATCTGGATCGACCACACGCACATCACCGTCCTGATCGACGGCATCGGCTGCGTCCTGCCAGAGTACCGCCTGCACAACTACCGCCTCGCCTTCATCATCTTCGGCGTGCTGATGGGCGTGGCCTTCGTCGTGGCCACTCAGTTCTACTTTGAGAAGAGCGAGGAGTACCGGCAGGAGCTGCCGGAGGTGGTGGAGGACTCGGCAAGCGGCCAGGCCTCACCAGACTCCGGCTCGTCGGCCCAGACTCCGGCCGTGTCAGAGGTCACCCAGGAGTTCCACTACAGCGACCTGCTGAGGCTGCTGTGCACCGTGCGCTACAGCTCCGTCCTCTTCGTCGCCTGGTTCATGGGCTTCGGCTACGGCTTCGTCTTCAGCTTCCTGTACTGGCACCTGGAGGACCTGAAGGGGACCACCACGCTGTTCGGGGTCTGCTCCGTCCTCAGCCACATCTCCGAACTCGGCGCTTACTTCACCAGCCACAAGTTCATTGAGCTTGTTGGTCACGTCAGGTAGGAAACGCTCAACTTTTAACTCAATCTGTGTCCGATTGACGATTTTTATTCTACGGAGTCTGAAGATCCAACACTTTAGTCGACAAATCGACACCGTCTGGAATCACGTCCCTCTGTTGATGACCGAACAGAGGAATGTTCAGCCTGAAATAATCAGATGTGATGATTAAAGTTCTAGTCAAAACCTTGGTAAGGATTAATTGTTAACTGGAGTATACAGACTCAACCAAAGACCAAATGCTGAAAGAACAACAAACAGCAGTAATTAAGTTAAAACTGTACAAATATATGTAAATGTCCCATTTAAGATGAAAACAAACTTTGTGAATCTGTTTATTCCTTAAAGTGACAAAGTTTTATCTTCTCCTGGTTCATATTTATCACCACTCATCTGGACAGTTTGGACATTTCTGTAGATATATGCTTTTTAAATTTCCTTCATAAAGGTCTTAAAAAGTCTTAAATTTGGGTGGGTGACGAAAGCAAACCAAAATATTAACTTTTTTTTGGAAGAAATGGTGGTGGATCTGGGAAACGGTGCAGCTGATTGTTGGTCGGTTCCATTTCACAGACCGGTTCTCTGGATGATTTCTACAGTTTTCTTCAGCTTAGTTTACCTGCTGCTACAGAAGACCCTGTTCTGTTGTGGTTGATGTAATGAACATGTCTGCCTGATATTCAGTCTGGATGTGGAGAGATTCCCCGCAGTGAGTGAGCCGATGGCGGCGTTGGCGGCGGCGCGGGTCCAGCAGAATCAGAACGCGGTTTTGTTCTGCGGCCGAGCGCAGAGACAAAGCTGCCATTGATGCTCCGGCTTTCCGTCCAGCAGGGACATCTGAGAGCGACGGGTTGGATTTCAGGCTGCAGCTCTCAGAACCGGGCCGTGGTTCTGCTCTGCTCTCTGGACCGGGTTTATAATAAGAACCTAATGAAACCAGAAGCTCTGCTGAGCGACGCTGAAGAGACTCAAGTTAATCAATAACTGAAGGAAGCAGCAGCAGCACATGAGCTGCTCTGTTGGTTTTCAAACTGCACATTTTTATATTATTAATGTCACATATTTCTAATTAATCATGATTTTTAATGTTTGTTTGTTTTAGTAAGTAATACTTGGATACTTACAAAATTAGTTGACAATTGTTTTAGT